TGTCAACCTTTAGAACAAGAAAGCCACAGATTCAAGCTCATATTAACAACTGTCAGGTATTTGTGGGGTTTGGGAATGATTGGATCTTCCCACTCCAGGCCTCCATTGGCAGCATCAAAGTTGTTTGTTCTTGAAGACACTGTCATCATTCCAGCAAATTCAAGGACATTTAATTCAGGCTTTATTTTGTTGTTCTCTACATTTCAAAGTCACCTCTGGTTTTTACGGCTATGGGATCTTGTTTCTTGGTGGTTACCTTGGCCCATTGCTCCTTCCATCTCAGATCCCGGTGTGATAAATAGGCAATTCTCTAATGATGGCTGTGTCTGCATCTTGTCTGTCCAATGCAGGAGCCATTAGCCATCTGTGGTCATTCAGAACATGAAAAGTGGACAATTTAAGAAACAAAATGCTTAGTTTATTGAATTTTAGCTAATATAAATAGTTTTTTGTTTGTTTCTGATTACTGGGAAAACTACTGAAATGCATTCACACAAATAAGCAATACACATGTCAGTTAGTGAGAAATTTCTTTTGAAAAATAGAACATTCTTAAGGTTGGCCAAGTTGGCATGCAGAAATATATCAGCATAGTCATTTGGCCAGGTCATGAAAAGGCCACCTAATACATATCTCAGAAGTCATCTCTAAAAATCATTTCATTAAGTGTTCAAAAGCAAATGGTGAAGTTTTCTTTAATGGAAATGGTTCATCCCAAATAAGCTTGCAAAATGGCTGTGCTTTCTGTTTCTCTTGTAGATCCACAGTGTACATCAACATAATAAAGACTCCAAGAAGTCCTACAGTATACAGCTCCAAAAAACACAATTTGACTTAGAAATTCCAACATGCTAAAGAAAAGATCCTGTGTGCACGTGGTGTGTGTGTGTGTGTGTGTGTGTGTGTGTGTGTGTGTGTGTGTTTGTATAAAACCTTAAGCATCACAAGAAACTACAGAAGCAGGGTAAGGACCTGGACTTTGATAGCAAACAATGATGGACTCATTACTAGCTCGTGACTTTAGGAAAGTCAATCAACCTTTCTCACTATTTTGTTCAATAAGATGAATTAGTATATCACCAGCTTTCATGAGGATTAAACACAATGAATATGGGCCTATCACAGTTCTTCATATCTGATAAATTGTCCCCTAAGTAATTACCTATTACTTTCATAACACCTGTGTGGGGGTTAAGTGACTGAATGACAGACAGTGGGTCCAGAAAGAAAGGTGCCATAACCAGAGTTCATTCATGAACACTGTATTGGAAACTAGAATGAGAGAGGAATCTATGCTGCATCCCACTATTATGAATGTACACCTGGCACCAAATGCCTTTCTTGGCACAACCACCATGGGAGCCAGGAGTTGAAGCATATTATCCTTTGAATTGTCCACCCCCATACAAAGCAAAGATCAGACACTTTGTATGTGCATGTGCTTTGCTTTGCTCTGGTCTGCCCTGCCCATGTTTTTCTTTCATCATGTCCAACCATTGTGAGTCTATATCTGTGAACGACTTCTTTGCTGTGTGTTAGTTATGACAGAAACACGCTCACCTCTGGGTCTTTGCATTCGCTGGCTGTTTGGTATAGCACGCTCTTCCAGTTATCCAAGCCTCCTTCTCTTATAACTGTCAGTCATTTACTGAAGTGTTTTCTTCTCAACTCTCCCTAAATTATCAACACAACCCCACCTGCTCTGGTCCTCTCCAATCTTTTTCCTTGCGCAACACATCTGATATGCTAGGTTTGATTTTCTTTATGTTTCCACCTGACAGAACATAAGCTACATTAGAGCTGAGGTCCTCATCTGTGCCATGCTCCACACCTGGCGCGGAAGACCTAAATGCCAACAAGTAGGAACTGGAAAGATAGCTCTGCAGCTAAGGATGCTTGATGTTTCTGTAGAACCTGGGTTTGGTTCCCAGAACCCAAATTGGACTGCTCACAACTGCTGTAATTGCAGTTCCATAAGGCTTGACACCTCTTCTAGTCCCCAAGAGTACCTTCACACACATAGCATAAAAACATACACACAAATTCACGCAAAACAAATTAATCTTTAAAAAAATTTCACTGACTGGTAACCAGAAGCCGAAGTTGTGCATGTCTATTCCTGCATTTAATTTGCAGGACGGCTTATCCCAAAGAAGGAAACACATCTCCAGCATAGCCTCTGTGGTTTTTATTAGTGTTTCTGGGACCCATCAAGCAAACAAATAAAAACATATTTTTGAAAAATATAATTCTTTCATTAAACAGACATCATTTGGATTTAACAGTTTAAGGGTTTAAAGGTTCTGATTTAAAAAAAAAGTGGCAGTAGGGTTGTTGCCCACCAATTATCAACCCAGAAGCCAGATGGCAAGAATTAAATTTATACCTACAGAATGATTAACCCCAATTCAGCTAAACTCTGAAGCCTATGTGTTTCAAAAGTTTCACAGCTGAGAATTCACCTGTGACACTAAGATTGCCATTTCAGTCTCAGAGTCAGTATTCCTCCATAGGTCCAGATTATGTGCCTTTTACAATCTATATTTTCACACACACTCCAGATATATGATGCTCCAATATACACAAGGCACCCAGTAGGTGCTTTATTTAAACTACAGAAGAATAATGTAATTGCTTTTCCTTCTTACTGTTCTCCCTTTTCTTATATTTTATACAATAAAAAAAAAAAGGCACACTTGCAAAACTAACATCTAACATGCATGGCTAACCTTATCAAAATATCCCTCAGCATTTTTCAAAAAGGAAGAAAAAAATAAAAACCAACCCCTAAATACTAAAACTGAAAACAGTTTTATGCTTAAATAGCATTTGACATCATATAAACACACTTATAATCTTCATTGATTAAATAGGTCAAGGGTTCATTACTGGCATCTTGAAACCAGGTTAAGTCTCACAGTTCTGGGTAAGGCAACAAAATTCTCATCCAGCAGACACTGATGTGTGCAACCAAGCAGCCTGTTTGAATTTCTTTTCAGCACAGGTAGGAGGCAAAGGAGAGTGTCACAGTAAATGTTCGTCATAGAGGTTATGTCCTTGAAGGTTTGGTTATTGTGTTGTGTTCTGGAGAAGTGACTCACATCCCAGTTATGAATATGACTGATGTCTGCCCAGTCAAAGGAGTCTCCCAGAAGATAGTCACCATTCACTCAGTGAATAGTTATCCTGTTGCACCCTAGGTATGAGGATAACAAAGTGGTCAAACTTGGTCCCTGCCCTCTGAGAGCTTACAATCTAATCAGACAGGAACGTGAAGGAAGGCTCTGTGTGTGAAATTCATGACCTGGGTCTCTCAAATAGCATGCTGAACACGCTGTGGACCTATCCCTGGGATTCAGGACCTTGCTTAATTTTATCAAGTCATATAGGGGCCTCAGATGATCTGAGTCTTGTGAAGTATTAATGGTCTATTACTTGACTTATATTCCCATGGAAACCACTAATATGTCACTTGTGAATATTCAAGGAGACTGTATTTTGTGAGCCTTTAATAGATTAATCACAGATGAACTTATCAATAAAGTGGCTATTCTCTAAAGAAAGGAGTTCTTTCTTCTCTGTAGGGTTTCTTTCAAATTGTGGTGAAAAGCACTCTGCTACACCCCAACTTGGCATAACTTCCTACCTGGAGTTTTCCAAGTCATGAACAGCACATAGAAAACACACAAATTCAAGCCAAGAAAATAGATATGCAAAGCACTTAATACTGCAGCCTATTTAAATAGGAATTGGGTGCCAAGAAACTGCCACTTTCCTCAAACAGCACAATCTATTTATCTGCAGAACTGTTTCCACTGGTCCTATCCAGACTCCTCTATTCTCTGACAAGGATAGCTCTGTGATGGAGAAGCTAGAGAAAGAGCCAAAGCCAGGTACAGGAATTAGAGAAACTCACAGGCTCGGAGAAAGTGAACCCAGAGAAAGACCTGACCACCCTAGACCAAAGCCAAGGAAAGCCATGCAAGGAAAAGCAGACAGAAAACTGGCAGATGCCCCCAGTACCAGCACACACACACACACACACACACACACACACACACACACACACACACACACAGGCACACACTCAGATTCTTCCCTCAAAAATTCCTTCTACAAGTTTCTCTCTGCATTCCCAGTACATACATTTTCTCTTGTACTTCCTAATACATGCTAATACATCACTGCGTTTCTCTGACTTTGGCTCTCATGGCATTCTGAAAAGAATTTCCTCCATCTATCGAATCCCATCGTCTCTAATACTTAAAAAAAAAATAAAAATATATTGACTTCAAGGTCTTGCTTTTTCTTTAGGAATTAGAAGATTCTACACATCTCTTTGTTCTGAGACTGAATGACTACCTTTATATTGACTGGTTCAATTGGTGTTCTCACTCAAGGGTATTTTTGTCCTTCTAGAGACATTTTGACAGTTTCTATGAACACTTTGGATTGACACAAGTACAAAATGCTAATGGAGGTCATTGCTACACATTTGACAATGCACAGTACAACTCTCACCACAAAGAATGAACCAACCCAAATGTCAACTGTACCCGGGGAGAAACCTTAAACTACAGATGCAAGAACACACTCATCAGTACCACCACCTCCTTTTCCCACTTAGTTTTCAATAGTTGGGCTGAATTCTATGTAGCTAGAAGTAGCCCCATGTGGCAAATGACTTTTTTAAACTATCCAAGGTAAAAGGGATACAGGAAACTCATCCATGAATGAGGGTGAAGCCTCCCCCCCCCCATCAATCCCATTTACTGAAACATTCCCAGTATGTAATCATGCAATGATTATAGGCCACTCTGGATTATGGAAGTTCCCATTGTCTATTCACTGTCTCCTAAGTCAGGCTAAATTTCCCAGCATCCTTAGGGTTGATCCCATCAATCTGAGACCTTGAACTTTGCCCTCCAAAAAATCCCATTTCTCTTGAGGAGGTCACATGGATGCTTATGTGCAGAGAACACATCACCTTTTTTTCTAAATCATTTTGTATATGAAAACATTTAATGCCCTCTTATTTCTTTTCCCTTCCTCTTAGCAAGAAACACAAGGCTACAGGCCCTGTTGTTCTTGGAGTAGAAAAGAATATCACAACAGAGGCAATAGCAAATCACAACCACATACAGCTTCATAGTTCACAGAAAACTGTGTACGTTTGTTCCCCACATAGGACATACTTCAAAGTAACAAAATATTTTTTTTCTTTTATCAACTGTAGTGTCTGTTCTTCCCAACAGAAGCAGATCGTTTTTGTCCCTTCATGGTACATAAATATCACTGAAAAGCAGTCTTTGAAATATTTACGTCCAGTTCTTCATTGATTTTAATCCATATGCTGTGTTTTTGGTTTGTGTCCCAAGGGTTGGCAGCCTCAGTTCTCATTTTCTCTCCATCCACGAGCATTCTTCCCAAATTTATAGACCAGCCGTCGCCCATCCACACGTTCCAGAATTTCTCGTTTGTAGTAGTATCTGTAAGAAGGAGATGGGTAAGGTGCCCATTCAATCTGAGCATTGCAGGGAGTGCCTGCCCTTGGGGCCTTGCCATTAGAAGAACGTGAAGTTGCTCACCTCATGGCCCGGCTGAGTTTCTCGTAGGTCATACTACTGTTGTTCTTCTTTTTCCCCCACAGCTGAGCCACAGCCTCTGACTTCAGGAACCTGAAGATACCTTCTGAACGGTCTTCCCATTTGATCAGCCCTGGGTTCTTGTCTGGGCTCAGGAGAATGTCTCGAATGAACTCCCATAAGTGAGTCCCTCTTGGGTCTGATGAAAAGCAAGACACAAGGATTTATTAATGGCCCAAATCAGAGGACAGGAGAGAGAGAGAGAATGTGGAGTTACAACTTCTTCCTTGAGATGCAGAATCACCAAATAGTCATTTTAGAACAAACAACTAGTATAATCAAGGCATGGGGAACCAATGTGGCATAATGAACTCCTGGCAAAGCCAGGACTAAAGAATTGGTGTTAATCATGTAATCCAGTCCGAGCTTTCTTTTTCTAATTACCATTCACAAATGGCCTAGGCTTACTTCAGACAGCAGTCCTCAGCCATTTGTCTAATATCTCGCTTGGTTCAGTTATTCCACCCAGCAGTCATCTCTTGGGAAAAGACCTCCTCCAAAGAAAGAGTGATGCATCTCAACCCCTCCTCTCCACCTTGATCCTTGCCCCCTCCTGGGCTCTCCTAGACAAAGGGAAATCTTTTTTTTTTTTTTATTTTAAATGATCTTCAGGATTTATTTAGACAAGAAACTTGTCGATCTGACAGGAGGGGAAAAGGAAAATTAAAAAAAAAAAAAAAACTACAGGAAAATGGTCCCAAAACCCCCACCCTTTAGCAAAGGGTGCTGATTGTACAAAGGGGAATCTTTAACCTTCTGTCCACAAGTTCTTATCCACTGAAGTGTCCTAGTTTTAGAGAAACTAAGATGAGGGAGAAATTCCCAGGATGCCCCACTTCTGTAAACAGCCGTGTTGGGAGTCACTTTAGTGGTGCCCCCTTTAGTGGTAAATGAATGGGGATAGAAACAATACTGCCAGGCAACTTACTGTGCTTTTTGGTGTGGGACTTTACAGGGTGGTCTTGTTCCTTTTTCATATCAGGTGACTCTGCTAAGGAGAAGAATGAAAGCACCTCAGTTTAACACCTCATGCAAGTATTGTTCTTACTACACACTTAGTCGCTGTTCCCTGATTACCCACTCCATACCTTCACTATCCGGCTATGTAGCAGTGCCAAAACTGAGGATACATGCTATGGGGAAAATGAGGCAGGGTAGAAATGAGGGTCAAAGTTTGCAACTTAATCCAACAAAGTCAAAGAAGACTTCTGTGATAAAGGGACCAATGGGATGTGGGCAAAGTGGCCACTCAGAAAACCTAGGGACAAACTTAGCATAAAGGAAGACAGTAAGAGCAAAGGGCCTCCGGTCACTGTGCATTAAGTGTTTACACAGCACAGAAAGAAGCCAGTAGATGTGAACAAGGGGCAGAGATAGGAACTGAAGTTCTGATCATTAATGCCTTACAGAAAGTTCTGAAAGGACTTTGTTCTGCTTCTCCTGAGAGACATGGTAAGCCATGGAAAGATTTAGGTCATCTAAAGGATGTTTTTATAACATAATACAAAAATGTAAACACTCATAACAAAGAAAGGTATCATTTAAGCCAGAGGAGTGCCATTTTTTGGCATGCAAAGTTACATTTTAATCACCTTGACAAAGGGGCCATTGAGTGGCCTGAGCTCAGCACAGAGGGCCACAGTGGACTATGGAAACACAGATTAGTTTAACAAATGACTCTTTATGGTAATCATTTCACTGTCTCCATAGAAAAGAAGACAGAGGCAGATCTATGATGTGAAAATTCAAAAAAACAGAGAGAAAGAGAGAAAGAAAGAAAGAAAACTAAAACACTGATGTTCTCAGTCATATATGACAGGTAGAAAGGTTAATCCCAGCAAAACAAAAAGTTGAATGGTGAAGGCTAGAGATCAAAAGGGGATGAGAGGAACATCAGGAGACTGGATGACATGCCACAAAAGCAGATACCCTGGAGGAATAAGGTCAATTGTCTACCAGGCAATAGAATAAAAATACAATGTCTGGTGATTTATTGCATAGATTACAAAGAACTAGAACCAAGAAGTCCTAAGGCTCCCAGCACTGAGACAATGAACATTTAAGAGATGAGCATGCTAGCTAGCTACCAAGTCTGATTTGGTTATCATATATATATATATGATAATCAAATCATATTGATATATATATATATATATCATCATATATCAGCATGATATATATATATGATAATGTCACAGCATGGCTCATGAATACATTAGTATTATGGATTAATTTATTTTTAAAGAAGAAGAAGGGACTGGAGATGTAGCTCAGCAGTTAAAAACACTTTTTGCTCTTGCAGAGGATTTGCATTTGATTCCCAGAACCCACATGGTGGTTCACAACTATCTGTAACTCTGGTTCCTGGGGATCTGAAGCCTTCCTCTGATTGCCACAGTTACCAGGCACACCCATGATACACATGTATATGTGCAGGCAAAACACTCATGTGCATAAATTAAAGTAAATACATCTTCAAAAAACTTGTAAAGGAAAGGAAAACTAACAACTTAATGACCCTCCCACAGGTGTGTGTGTATGTGTGTGTGTGTGTGTGTGTGAGAGAGAGAGAGAGAGAGAGAGGAAGAAAGAAAGAGTGTCTGTGTGTCTGTGTCTGTCTGTGTGTCTCTGTGTTTGTATATGTTCAAGGATACTTCAGGTGTTATGTGGACCATTGGTGATACCACCCTAAGCCCCATAATCAACAGCTATCCAATTTTGATACGAAATAGTCCCCTAAACACAAGTCAGTCCTTTAAAGGAATTAAGCAAGACATGCCTCTTCTTGTGACATAGCAGAACTTCCTAACATAGGGATCCCCATCAAGGCTTTCAAGAGCATTCTAGACTCATCAACACTGTGTGCACAGGGAGGGGACTAGGCATGCATGTGACAAAGGGAAGGTGCTATTCAAAAAGAGTCTATGTGCCACAAAATTAAAGTGACTAGGGCTGTGGCTCAGGGTTAGAGCACTCATATGAGGAAAGCCCTGGGCTGGCTTGATACTCAGCACCACCAAAAGTAAAATGATAGATGAAATAGCTAAGAAAAGTAACTCCTACTTATTGAGTTCTGGCTATGTACCAGGCACAATACTAAACATTTCCCATGGCTTATCTTATATCATCCATACAATAATGATATGAGGTAGGTGCTATTATATAATTCATACAAAAACCCTACAAGGTTGGGTTTGCTTCAATGGAGGATCCAAGAACCAGCCTGAAAGTAGAGCCTGGCTGTAAATACCAATAGTTAAATCCAGAAACTTTGCTCATAACACTTTACTTAAGGGAGGATCTTGCTCACACAACACACTTCTCAAACGTCTTTCCAGGAGTCAATCCACTTCCTCAGTGTCTTCACAGTGTACCGGTTCTATACTTCCCAATGAATGAGCCCACTCACCCATCCATCCATCCTTGAGCTTTTCACACTTCCACATCCCCAGTTGTTTCTCAAAAGCCATGGTGGGATGAGAAGAGGGATTAAATAAAAGAAAAACTCCCCATTCCGAGTAAAAATTTCTCTCCTGGCATTGATGCCAGCAGGCCCTGGCCTCATGTAGTTTTCTCTGAAATGCAAATGGACCAATACATAGAACTGGAAAGAACACTTCTCTTGGCCCCCTGCAGTTCACAGGCCAAGGTTGCAACACCCCACCAGGACATGAGGACATTGAGAAAGGTCTGGCACCCACCCCGGTTTCCCAATGATACATCACCCTGACAGGGCCACGTTGTTCTGGAGACAAAGAATAGCTTCTACCCAGCAGGCCACAAGCAAAGCTCATTTCCCAATGAGATCCAGAAGGGAATGGGCCATGATTTCAGAGCCAAGGATGGCTTCGGAAAAACATAATAGTATCTTGGCACACTGGCCTTTCTCAGTGCATGGGGGCTTCAGCCTGACACAGAATCTATCTACTTTGGGGTTATGCTATCTTTGAGAGTTGGATGAACACATAAATGTTCTGCCCCCAGAAAATGTGTTACACTAATGAAATTTGGTTAGCAATTCCTGGGGTCCCTGGCCCACTTAGGGGGTTCATGGACTCTAGGTTAAACAACTGGGTTAATTCTCTTTGAGATGTCAGCCTTTCCCTCAAGATGGACCACACACATATACATGCATGCACACTCACACATGCATGTGCATAGAGTCTCCATGTTCCCATCCACACATGGGAGAATAAAGAATCCAGGACAAAAGACGAATGTTTCTTCCAGGCATTCTTCTCCTACCAACATGTAGAGGAAGCCACAAAAAACCTACCAGCCTTAGCTCTAAAGCCTTTTGATCTAAGAGCTCATTTAATACATTTAGTACAACTGCCTTGCTCCCACCCCCTCGTACTCCCCACAGCCACAAAACAAAAGCCAGACCTTTGAAATGAGCCACGTGGTCAAGTGATTTATTTTGATAAAATAATGGCTAGCTCTGCAGAGGTTGTCCAGCCTGGCTTTCTCTTGTTTTTCTCTCAGACACTTGGAGTCAAGGTGTCCTGTGGGGTCCAGGCAGAAGCAGTAACAAGTTCCAGGCTTACAATATAAGTGGGAGCCTATGCTTTTAGCCTAGCTGCTTCGCAAGAAAGCAGAGATTAGATGTATTTGCATATGAGTCAGCTGTGAGACATTTCTTTACGGGATATACAAATTTTAGCGTCCTAATAGACCGTGCCACCCTAGCTTGAGGCTTAGCAAGTCAGTAGATAAACACATCAAGCCTGAGTTGGCATGACTGGCCTTGGGACTATCGAGTAGATCAGAACACTAGTGGCAGCCATTTTATGAAATGGGCAGATGAAGGGAAAAAAAAAAATCAAAACAAAGCCGGCTTCCCCATCTGCACTATCAAGGAGACCATCAGTTGACACAGAGCCTCACCTTAGCTCAGCTTGAACTTGCATGAAAACATAGAAAGATGTTTAACTGCATCCTATTTCATAGGAACCTGGATAGCAAGATGAGGACAGATGGCAAAGGTCTTTGGGGGCATTCTGGCCTCATCCAGTAGAGATTAAACTATTCTGGAAGGGACTGACTCATATAAGGTTGCAATTAATATCCTACCAGACCCAAAAGCCAAAGAATCTATCAACTGCAGACACCACATTGATTTAAAAGTAAAAAAAGACAGAAGGCTTGGATTATTCGTCTCATTTTCAAGCCTGTTACATCAGGAAGGGCACTAATGGGGAATGGAGACTGGGGATGGTGGGGCAGAGGTGAGGAGGACAGATTCATGAAGCTCATTTTAAAGGCCATCTAAAGCCACAGTAGGTGGATAGAGGAGGCAGAAGTTCCCTGCTGTTACAGCCTGCAGGATAAACTGCTGCCTTGAGCCCCTGCTCTAAAGGGGAAGGCAGACCTGCATTTGCAGCAAGAGGGCCATGACTTCCTGGAAGCTTTCAGGGAGCAGTTACTATGACCTGATCCTTAGTTGGAACACTTCACCACATTAAAGACCCAACAGGAAAGACGGGGAAGGGAAGGTGACAGGACAGGAAGCTAGAGTGGAAACTAGTGGGTGACTTGGGTGCTTTCTTCAGCCCTGAAGCTGGTAGTCTTTTCCAGGTGGCAACAACTGCCACAGGAAATTACCCAGACACGCTGCTGCTCCACAGTGGCAGATAACACTACTACTTTTCTGACGCTGGCCTTGCTTCCTGATTTAAACAGATCATTTCAAGAGTGCTCACTAAAAACTTGGGGCTTAGGGAGGCTGTCTTCAGATCTCAACCACAATTCCAAAAGTGTTTAAACTAGCTCCCAGCCTCTCATTCAAGGAGCTTGACCCAAACAAAACTTCAGACTAAAAGCTCTCATTAGTTCAGTTCACACAACCACACCATTCAACCATAGCAAAAGAAGAGGGGGCATTATTGTTTAAGCCCGTCCTTTCTTTCACACACACACCCTGTTAATTTCCAGTTCTGTCACCGGCCCAAGGTCAATCCCTGGAGAAGAATACTTCTCTTACAAATAATGTCTCAGCCTCACAGACCCAAAGAGGTCCAGAAAGAACCAGGTCAAGGAACCACACAAAATCTTTTGTTTAGCTAATTCTTATAGTACACATATAAATGTACCTATTGTCTGAAAGCCCCTTCCCAGACCTAATCCCCAAGGTGCCAACATTGCTATAATCTTTGACAAAACACTGTGGATGGCCCCTAGTTGTATCCAATCGTGACCAATGTAACTGGTAAGGACATGACAAACACAGGGCAGATGCTCTAACTGCAAAGTGCTGATGAGCCATCAAGGTTAGGCATGGAAACCAGGCTGGGGGTGGGGAGATATGAGTGCAGGGCTGCTGTCCAGACTTCCCAATCACTGTTTCTACAGACCATGCCCACAGGTCCATGGGCGTTTTGAGTTCATTGTTCTCTAAAGCCAAATGTAATTCAAAATGGATGGTTGGGATGCAATTGAAAATTAAATTGAACCTTCTCTCCAACAAATACAACTAATTTTTACCAAGTTTATTTCCAAAGCAAATTTGTGTTTATAAATAGATTTAGACACAAGAAACTTTTGTTGTCTCAAGAGTTGCACAGAGTGCCATAGTAGAATTCTTCTGGCAGGATGTGAGCTGGTAATCTTTGGTGTATACATACTGTCTGGGAAGCACAACTACTCATTCAGATGACAACTCAGTTCATTCCCTAGCTTTTCAGTGAGAAAGATTCCAGCAAAGTAGAAATGTAGGTAGTGGTAAGTTTTATTGATAATTAGTAAACACAGGCAGGAGGCAAACCCAGTCCATGTCTCGACAACTTACCAACTGGAAGGTGACTGGAGGTTGTCATGGAGATTTGGGCCCGGCAGAAAGTTTTACTGTCCATCAGATCTGCAGGAAACAAACAAACAAAAAGGGTGGGGTGGGGTGGGTGATACTGAGAGACCCTCCTCATGATACAACACTGCTGCAGGGCGAGCATGCAAAAGGGCCTTCGGGGGTCAGGGAGTTAGTTACCTACTGTGCTACCATAGCTGGGGTCATAGAGATAGTTTTCTTCTTTCCATGTGTTCATAATGGAAGGATCTGCAAGGAACAGAAAGTAGTAAAGGTCAACAGTTGCTCTCTCCAGGTTAAAGAATTCATATTCAAGTGTCTGCTCATCTAAGAAGCTCATAGGGTTGGTGGGGAGAGGGGGCAGCCAAGAGGAGTGAGACTCTAGAATCTACTTCACCTATGTGCTACTTTATAGAGATAATCAGCCTGGTTTTCTCCCAGCATCATGAGAATAGCTTTGTTATGGATCTAACCTTGTGATACACACTTAATTACATTTCCAGGCTATAAAATCTTATCCTAGACCAATACTCCATTCTTCCAGAAATTGTTCCAGCCTTGCTTGACCTCATTTGACCTCACTCCAACCACACAATCATCAGACTAAATTTACTCTGGAATGGAGGGAAAGCTTTGTTGGGGATGAACAAATGTATAATAAGGGATTTATAAGCATTCTTCTTTCTGAGGGTGGTAGGGAACTGATGGTGTTTCTTTTAGAAAAACCTGGCTAGTTTTCTCATGATTTGTTTGCTGCTGAACTTCTTAGTGGCTTCCCTTAAGAAGAGTGATAGCCATTGCTGTCTAGGTTTTCTCCAAGTAGCTTAAGGAGTGATATAAAGTCTCAAAACTCAGGAGAAGGGGAAAATATTACCAAGTCACACAGCTTTTTAGGGGTGTGCTTCTCTGGGAGAAGCAGAAATGAGCCCCTCCCTCCAGGCTTCTCCTAAATGCCATGTTTCAGGAGTTAGCTGGAGTGAGACACACTCTTCAGATTGCTGATTAGAAGGAAACTCCCTCCACCTGCCCCAAGTGAGCCCAACTCCCACACAATAGCCAGAACCAGGCCAGCTTCCAAAACAAGCATTCTCTTTGCAGGCTGGCCAAGAGCTTGATGCTCTTGCCTTTTCCCTGGCATCAAGCTTTTGGCCCCCAATCTGGGCTGCTTTGGCTTCCCCAATATCCAGGTTCCATATGTGAGGGCCATGATGACATGCCACTGGCTGAGCTCTGTTTTGTTTTTATAGCATAAATGATATAAAGCCTGACTCACTGGCTAAGTCCTTCTGTTTACAACATGGGGATTTAGCTGGTATTTGAACTCATAGCTACATGTTTGGACACTCTAAGCCCAATCTCTTGGGGTTACACCTTCTGTCCTTATTGGGTCACCTTGTACATCTGTTGTTGTCTCTAAAAACAACCTCTAAAGAGGTTTGGGGGTGTTGGCCCCTCTGTGAGCCTCCTCTCCCCTATTCCCAGGGTGGACCTTCTCCACCCTTGAGCTCAACTTTTCTGAACTGGCAACACAAGAAAGTCTGGATGGTCAAGGAGGATTATCATTTTCTTTGGGGCCTCTCCAATGTCACCCTGACCCTTGAGGTAAGGCTATATGTAAGGCCAAGACCATCTTCTAAGCCAAATCCTGGTCTGTCTGCAAAGCCTGGGCAAACCTACAAAACATAGACCATCCAAGTAAAAGGGCAGGCCTAGGAAGGCCTAATTAACATGTTTGGCAGCTATTTTCTTTCTTTAATAATGGTAGACCAGGGCCCTTATAAAAGAGTAAATAACTGCATGGGCTAATTTTGGTGCCAAGTGACTCAAAATCCACCCCCAGGTCAAATTCTGCCCTTGGTGACTAGCACGCAACCCTCAGGGATACCTGAGGCAAACTTATTCAGCCCACGTGGCATATAATCTACGTGATGTGGACATAGGGAGTGACCCAGGAGCAGTGGCACCTGTGTAGTCTTTTTGTGCCCATGAAGTTTGGGGGACAGAGGAAAGAGAACAAAAATGAATGTAGGCGTTATGAAATTAGAAACTTTTTTCAGAGCCCAGGAAAGGATCTTTCAAGTAAAAATATGTTCATAAGACTTGGGCTCTCCACTAGGGCCCAGAGACGATGCTACCTGCCACATCAAGACAGTGGCTCCCTCCTTGTGAAGCTCACCCAAATGGAGAGGGAGAATAAAGATTTCCTTCCCCTTGCTTTTCTGAACCCAGCTTCACTCTTTCTGAGAAGGAAATCCACTTCAGAGTCTGTTTTAACCCTGCTACTGGCCTTGTGTCTGGACAGTGTTGTGACTGATGGAAGGATGGCTCACCATCCATCTACACATTAGACAAAATCGGTGGTCATTTGTCCCTTGGCAAGGAAGAAGCTTATGGCGAGGTGGTGCCTTAGAGGCAGGGAAGTGACCTCCATGGGTTCCCTGCTAACTTTCCTCCCGTTCTCCCTCCTTTTTTTCTCCCCAGGGCTTTGCCTGGCCAAGTTGGCTCCCTCTGCCTCTCACCACTCACCTGTTTGTTCAGTCTTGACAATGACATTGTGTGTGGACTGGAAAAGGTCACTGCTGCACTGGCCTGTGAAGGACAGATGGAAAAGTCAGAGAGCTCAGACAGAGTCACAACTTGAAGCTTCAGAAAGAACATAAGACTCTCTGAAGAGTGTCTGCCATCTTGCTGTCTTTCCTGGTTTGCCAGTGGGAGTCTCCCCAGCCGGCCTCAGCACCACCAAGTCTGGGACCATCTCTGGCCCCAGAGAACTGGTAGTTCCAGGCACCTGCAGGAGTGGAAGTAATTGGTGTTAGAAGTAAAAAAAAATTGAAGAAGGCCACCTTCTTCAATAATAGGATTTGCAAAACATTTGCTATTCTAGTCTCAGTCTCCTCCTCTGTAAATTCAGGGGATTAACCTGGATAGAGTTACTCACATGATCTCTATGGTACTCACGATACGCTATCATGTGAAGTGAAAGTGAAAATGCACAGAAGGACATCTTAACTTTACTAGCACTTACGACTTTGACCTTAAACTCAATCAACCCCACCTTTATTAGATTCATCTATGAGTCACATATGGATAAAATACCATGAGCTTTCTTCCATTTACCTATGCCTTCAGCACTCACACATATGATGCATGCCATATACCCTCCCCTCAACGATGATGTCCAAAAGCACACATGTGAATGAATATACAATGATTTTCTTCCCTGTAGAGATTACCAGTAGTTCTTATTTCTGACCTTCAGTTTTCCCATCTTTAAAATGGGTACAATATTTGCCATAAGTTCATTCATTTGATGAGTCAATTCACATTATAAATGTATTCGCAACAAATGTAAACTAATAGAATATGTATAGAAAAGGAAACAACCCCATAGTGGAAACTCTTGCCATTTGGCACTTAAAGGCAAGACCAGTTATACCAAACAATTCATGGAAGGTCAAAGATAGCCTCCCTGCCTCATGCTTTACAGGAGTGGACATAATTGAGGTAGTATTTTTAATTTTTCATCTATAAATCTGCTCTTTGAGAAGATTCGTGAGGGTTATTCCTGAGCCTTTTTTTGTTTGATGCTAGTAAGAAAAAAATGAGTAACCACCACCATGAGGTAAATGGAAAAGGAGGGAGTGTCAGGGTGCCAGATGAGAACATCCAAAGTGACACCATGGCTGCCAGCATCACTGCCACACTCCCTGCTGATGGCAGCTGTCCATAGGGCTCTAGAGCTCACATTTACTGCGTGCTCAAACACAGGTTCTGCTATAACATAAATGCACCTCTCTCTCTCTCTCTCTCTCTCTCTCTGTGTGTGTGTGTGTGTGTGTGTGTGTAAACTGTCACCATGGACAGTTTGCAAGGTGGTCTCCTGTGTGTGAGATGACAGATCCAAGGAGGTTTTTGGAACTATTGCAGAAATCACTACAGAAATAGTGATGTTCATTCTGTTTTCAGAAGTATTTTAATTATACATCTATTCTTATACTTTTTATTATGTTTACTTGTGTGTGTCCCCATGTGTGTAAGTATGTGCACATGATCACAGGTGCAACACAGATCATCATATGTGTCAGATCCCATGAAACAAGGTTGCAGGAGATTGTAGCCCCTGGTGTGGGTGCTGGGAACCAACACAAGTGTGTGCCCTTTACAGCAGATCCACCTCTCCAGCCTTGGCTATACACTTCTAAAAAAAAAAAAAAAAAAGAGGGGTGGGGATGGCCTTCTCCCCTCCAGATACAACATGGGGCTAGTCTCACTTGCCATCTTAAATACACTGGACTCAAACCACTTTAAGAACTTGGGTCTTGGTTGGGTATACTGGTACACTCCTGTAATCCTAGAACATGGATGGTTAAGGAAAGAGGATTTTGAGTTCAGGGTCAACCTGAGTGACAGAGAGAGTTCTGGGCCAGCTATATAACCAAATAGTCCAACCCAATCTCAAGATAACCAAACCAAAATTTTAAAAACTAAAATTAAAAACTCCTAGGTCAATAAAGTTTCTTTTTCTGTTTTAAAGTTATTGATGATCTTTATAACATGCAAACGAATGCCTGAGAATTAAGTTATTAGACTCTGTTAGAAAATGTAAAGGAGGGCTGGAAAGATGGCTCTGCAGCTAAGAGCACTTACTGCTCTTGCAGAGGAACCAGGTTCAGCTTCCAGCATCCACATGGGAACTCCGGTTCCAGAAGATTGGCACCCTCTTCTGACCTCTCCAGGGACACCAGGCATGCATGTGGTACAAATACATACACACACAGGCAAAACACTCAAATAATCAAATAAAGTGCATATGAATTGTTTTTGTTTTGTTTTGTTTTGTTTTTAGTGTAAAGGAAAAGCTTGTCTTATTAAGACAAGTATTTAAGACAAGTATTCTATGTCTCTCTGGAAATGAAGGTGGCCACAAGAAGAGTTTCATCAATGCTTCTGAGGGATTAGATGCATCATTCCTTAGGCTTTGTGCCTATCCTCTCCTCTCTCTGCTACTTCCCTGTCTAGGGAAATGGCAAGTTGGAGGGTCACTTCTGACAGGGAGCCCAGCCAGCTGTGGAGCCCTTGCACTTCCCAGGACCACTCACCATTCCACTTGAGCTGCTGCAAGTTGCTGTAGAGCAGCTGCCCAGCAGAGCCTGCTGCCCTCGTGAACTCCTGCAGGCTCATACTGCACAGGTGTTCTCCGCTGATGTCAAACTCCTGGAAAGGGATGCAGCTGGCATCCAGCTGGTTGGTGTCCAGGAGGTGCTGTAGCCATTCCCACACCTGGTATTTGGTCCAGTACTGAGGGTGGATTTCATGCCACTGGCCTCCAAAAAAACCACTGGAAACTGCAAAAATAGGATACAGCCCTGTGAGTGGCCCCTTCTTGTTCCTGGGTAGTCTCAGACACATGCATGCGTACGCACACACACCATACTGACTACTGAATGTGCTCTGCATAGTAGGCTCTTAGCATGTGGGGGGTTTTACCCAATAGTGGCATGGCATCTTCATGTTCTTCCTAATGTCACATCCATCTCTGAACACTAGATAACACATGATACCTGAAGAACTCTGAGCTCACTCCCTACCTCACCCACAAGTAAGTAGCAAAGTGAAAGGGTTGGCTATAGTTTCATCTACTTTCTAGCTGATTGCACATATGCAAATACATTGGCCTTGCCAGAATACCTTATGAACACCAAAATCTTACCATTCCTTCTATAGCATGTCATATTTACATATCTAACCTTCACATTTTCCCTATATTTTAAATTATCTCTAGATTAACTACAATCCCCACAATAATGTAAATGCTGTATAAATAGTTAATGCTAGATTGTTTGGGAAATGACAAAAAGAAAAGTTTTGTATTTGCTCAGTATAGATGTATGGTGTGTGTGCGCACGTGTGCGTGTGTATACAAGTGCATGCACTTGTATGTTGAGTGGGTGCATGAAGGCCAGAAGTCGATGTCTTTGGTTTAACATCACTTTCCTACTTTTCATTCCATTTTTTGAAACAAGGTTTCTTCACTGAACCAGGAGCTCACTGATTTGACTAGACTGGCTGGCCAGAGAGATCCAGGGATCCACCTGCCTTTACCTTTCCAGTGCTGGAGTTACAGATGCAATCTACCACACCTGCCTGGCTCTCGAGTAGGAAATGGGGGTCTGGACTCAGATACTTATACTTGCCCAGCAAGCACTTTAGCCATGGGCCCATCTCTGTAGCACCAAAAGGTATCTTTTGAAAGTTAGGAGTTGGTTGAGTCTTTGGTGTGGAATCCTGGGATGCAGAGGGCTGACCATGGTCCTCTCTCCCACTCCCCACTCCCTTTTTGTCCTCTTACACACAAGAAAGGCAGAGATAGAGACAAAGATTCAGAGAAAAAGCTGACACAGGTCATTTTCAACCAAAAATGGGGCTTTAAATGACGTTTCCCTTTCTCTGATGGTTTTGCTCTCCCTGAAGTGACACATCTCCTTGCCCCTGACTGGTGGCTACAGGTGCTCCAACACCCCTTCTCCACTCAGTCCCTACTATTCACTGAAATAAGACAGAAAACTACCATTCCGGGCACTGAAACACTTGGTCAATTGCTTTTGAAGTGACTAGTGTCCTCTGTGATTTTCTTTCTGTGTGGTCCCCAGGTCCCTTTCTGTACCACCCTATGCTGCTGTTGAGCCTCTAGCTCTCTTTCTTTGGGATTTAGGGTTACAGTTTCCCCAACTTGCTTTGGTAACCAAACTTCCAGGAATCATGCTTAGGATTTCTCTCAATGGCACCTATTATGTTCTGCTTATCTTTATAGGCTTCTAAGTTCTGGCTCATTGTCCTCTGCAAACTGTATATTGAAGGTCATAGACTCCAGTCTTACTCATCTTCATATATCCATAAAAATCCTTTGGAGCCATAGTGGAAGTCATTACCAACTCAGTATGGTTCACTTTCAGCTGAAGGACAAATAATGGAGGAATACAGTTGTACTGTGAGATAATTTGGATGAAGACCTGAAGTACATTCTAGTAGATAAGTTGCTGAACATGTTATATATATTGGTCTATGAACATGGCTGCCTTGTGCTAATGTAAGAGAGCTTCACAGAATTGGTCCAAAGGCATGGGAGCTGGGGACAAGAGCTGTGTTTCAAGGTTGAGGGATCTCAAGGTCTTCTGAAAATAAAGATAAAGGGGAAGAGCCCTCTTCCAAGAAAGGTAAGTAGCAAAGCCAAGAGGCAGATACCTTGTACCCCAGCAAGCCCAAGCTGGGCAAATATAACTGAACTTGAAATAATCTGGACCATTGTTGCATGGCTTTTCCTGGGGAGATGTAAACGAGTGTCTGCTCACCCAAGATAAGTCACTAATAGCAGACCAAAGAATCAGTCCCAAAGTCTATCTTGGTGAGCTGTTGAATTTAATTTAAGGCTACTTATAGGAACATGGGTGAGGGGCTCCTTTTGGAGTGTAGGTGGTGCTAAACAATGTACCACCAAAGAAGTCTTCTCCAGCCCACCCCTTTATTGTTAACTGCTTCTCTATCTTCAGAGAGGGGTGGAGTCTTGTGTACTACATTAATTTTCCCTCTACAAAGTAATGTTAATAGGTTCCACTCCTATGAGTGGTCACAGATACACCAATTTCCAGAAGCCATGGTCAGGGGACAATAGTCTATGAGGAAAATATAATTACAAGGAAAATACCCCTAACTGTCCCTTCAAAATCATGCTAGTGAAATACTTACAGCTGTAAGTACCAGGGACTATTGCCCAAATGCAGATCCCAGTCCAAGAGGTGTGGGGGCTAAAGCCTGAATTTCTGCATTTCTAGCAAGATTTGCCATGCTGCTGCTCAACTGTGGAGTGACAGGGAGATTCAGGACTCCCTTCCCACAATGCCTCTGGACTAACCCCCTCTCCTAGCAGAAGAAAGATAGGAAGGGGGAGGGTCTTAGGAAATCTCACTTTTCTCCCACTTCATAATCCAGCCTTGGCCTCCAGCCATTATAAGCAACAAGAGCAAGAAGGCAAGATCAAATCAGGGCACCAAGCTGCCTGCCATTGATATCTGCTACTCATAGGATGAGCTTCATTGTCCCCACTTTACAGCCAAATAAATGCATCCCTTCAGCCTCTCCTATGGAGCGAGGGAGCAACAGGGGAAATGGAGGAAGGCCTGGAAAAATGTAGCCCCCAACTTGAGGTCTATAGAAATTCTCCTCTAGTACAAAGCTCATGATGAACATTCCCATGTCCTTATTAATATTTTTATTATCATTGTATCTCACACATGGCATTGTTCAAGGATGAGAACTAGGTCTGTATTCCTAAAATAATTTTATTTCCTATAATAAGTAAGCTGTGGGTTTGCCAACAAAAGAACAAGTCTCGTGAGCTCAGTGGTGGGCCCAGGGTCCTCTCTGCTGTGCACTCAATGTGAACCTAATTCCAGGCAGCTTCTGACCTGGGAGAGCAGAGCCAGAAACTTGCCTGGAGTTGGCTGGGAGAAGATGCCTTCCTCCTCAGGCAGGGAATCATCAGAGTCCCTCATGTCAGGGAAACTGAAAAGTCAATGGGTTCTGTTCTCTGCCATGCAGCTGACTCCCCCACCCCCCTTCAGTCTTGATAAAGATCGGAGTCTTCTTGACACCTCCAGAGCTAAAGAAATAAAAGTGACATCTCAGTTCTGCTCCCTGCTAAGTCCACTGCTCTGGCTTTCTCCAAAGCAAATAGTAGAGATGATGCCTGGGGCATGCTGAGACTTCCTGCTCTCTTTGGAAGATTTTTTTTCCCCCAGGCCCCCACAGCAAATTCAAGGTCTGCCACATAATATGTAACTGTCCAGAAAGGGCAGCAGTTTTAGGAGACAAGTGATCTGAGACTGGAAGGCCACCTTCAAGCTTCCTGCCATGCTTGGCTGGGGATTCCTAATTAAGTGAGGAGTGCCACGTGGGTCTGCCACTCAGCAGGGAATGTCACCCTACCCTTACCCTCACTCCTGTTCCTCAAACTCTTCTCAAACAAGACACATCTGTGTGGCAAGGTAAAAAGGTAAAGAGTTGCATGATGGGGTGGGGAGTAGCAGCAGGTGGGGGGTAACTAAGTCCCTGAGCTGCTAATGCCTGATATTGTTGGACACCCAGAAGCCTGGCTGTGCAAATGCCTTCACCGAGAGGCATAGAGCCGCTGATTCAGCTTTCACTGGGAGCCACAGGCTGGATCACCAAACAGTACATACGAGTCTTGTCATGAGAGTCTCCTGCTTGAAGTCCATGCGTATGTCCTGGGGTAAAGCACTAAAAGATGGGCACCTGGTTCCCTGACAAATCTCTTCCTTAAACTCAGAAGTGAAAGTAAAAACGCTAGAAAGTTTAAACTACTATGATGTTTTCTTCTTTATCCTGTGTAGGCTGTGGTTAAATACACATGTATACACGTGTACACACTCACCTCCATGAACCTCTCTTGAAATCCCAAGAAAGCACTACTGAAAACTTCACCAACATGCCTCCCTTCCCTTGGGATATCTCATCTCCCACCTTTATTGCCAACCCAGATTTTTGCATTTGGTAAGGAGGTGGTGGTCTATCTCAATAGGCTTTGGCACAGAGCCCCGGGGGCCTAAAGAGCAAACAGCATTAAAAGTTTCCTCATATAAGAAAATATGGATCAGTGGTAGAGTCTGTGATTAGCAAAGCACAGAGTTCAATTACCCAGAGAGAGGGAGGGAAGGACAGAGGGAGGGAAGGAATGAGGGAAGGGAGAGAGAAAGAGAGAGGGGAAGAGAGTAGAGAGAGAGAGACAGAGAGAGAGAGAGAGAGAGAGAGAGAGAGAGAGAGAGAATTGCCCCTAGCCTCCATATCATCACTGAATAAAACACTGATTTTCCCATGCATCAAGTCGGAAAAGAAGTCAGACCAGGAGAGGTTAGGGGCATGGGCAGTGCTACCACCAACTGCAGAGGCCTTACCATTGCATGTGGGGTAGCTTTCCGTCCAGGCTGGCTGCTGGTGGAGGAGGTTGTTGGCTGGGTTGAGATTCATTACACCACTTCCTTCCAGAATCATGATCTACAAGGGGTCAAACAGTCGTTTAATTAGCACCTCTTAGACAAATGTCACTGGAGAGTGCAGCTCATGGAGTTCATTTAAGAAAGAAAGTCAAAAAGAAAGGAAGGGAAGAAGGAAGGACCATGTCCTTCCACCATTGCCACAGCCCTTTCAGTAAAAGCAAAACTTATGGCAATTAAAATTTTCCAGGTTCAATTTTCATATGCATGAGGCAAGTTTTTATAGCCACCCATTCATAAATGAATAATCTCTGATCAGAAACAGAGCCGTGTAGAAAACACAATACCTGCTCACAGGGCAAGCCTGGCCAGTATCCAAGTGCTTCACAAAAGTGAAAATACCAGAGAGATTTTATGTGAAGTGGAATTTCAAACAGTGAAATCTCAGACCCAGCCCCTATGCGAGACACTATCGGGAGTCCCCCGTATAAGCAGTCCTAGGTTTGAGAACACAGGAAGGCTTCCTCAGTGCCAAGTCCTCCTGTAGGTGAACTGATCCTCTGAGGACACCATTATATCTCAGTAGAGCTTTTTAAGCGGTTTGGTTTGAGCTAATATTAGGAATCCTTTGATTTCTGGGACATACAGTTCATCTTTCTGATATAGAAAACTAAGATTTTACATGCTGCTACAAAGTTATGAATAGCTTTTCTTCTGATGGAGACCTGGAAAATTCAACAGGCTTTGAGGCCATTCTCAAGGTGACTTCCTCAGATTTTCTACTGTGGGACCCAGGAGAACAGTTTCCATCCATAGCCCATCTGGCATGTTGGAACAACATAAAAATTTTGCATCTCAGAAAACTTCCCTAGCATTTATGAAGTGCCTGCCCCAAACTAGACACCCTCCACACTATAGGTTAGAGCCTGGGAGTGTGTGCAATAATCAAAGGGAGGGCAGGGTGTTTTCTGAACCTAGTGAGGCTGCAAAAGTCTCTCATTCTTCACACTTGATCTTGGCCAAAAGGCTGAGAAGCAATGTTGCTGTTCTTTATAAAATGTTGAGGTATGGATAGCCACAGGTCATGACTTTTTTTTTCTTGTCCTATTTGGAGGAAATTTTGCATCCTCAGGTGTCACTCATGTCAACAGACTGGAATGGTCCCCTCATAGAACACATACGTACACACACACACACACACACACACACACACACACCACAAACAAACAAAAAATAACCCCTTAACTCTTTAACTGAGCTTCAGCTCCTCTGGTTGTTTCTATGTAGAACCTCAGAGAAAAGATACATAACCTTGGAAAAGCATGTAATACTTTCATACATTCATGTATTCAGCAAATACTAATGGCCCTGATGAAGAGCTAGGTACTGTATAGGTTAAAAGGACAAAGCAGTGCTTAGAGGTTAAGCTGGACTAGATACCACTTGTAATTGTTGACATCATCACCGTCGTTGCTTGGTGAACACGTAGGCTTGCCTCTGGCATGAGTGGAAAGTGGGAAATAAAGGAAGAGTAGAAATGGCAGACAATTCAGTTAGTGATGCACAGGAGAGCTTTAGCCTCCATCCTGGTACCAGTATGAGAGCTCTGAAGTCAGAAGAGCTGAGATTCCTGCATGCTTTCCCACTTACTAGCCATAGTGAATGCTGGCTCACACATCTCTTAGTCCTTGAATTCCCCTGTGTGTAAATGCAGATGCTCACATCTAGCCTGGACACTGGTTAGGGATCAAATGCATTTCTGTACTTTTCACACTTGGCACAAAGTCTGACAGCTAAGTGAAACCACTGCAGGGAAGTGGCTTACCTCTGTGGATAAACTGGACTTAAAACACCCCAGGGCCTCCATTTTCCAATCTAAAAAGTGAAAACTGGTTTGTATGTTTTTGGTTTTCAAGACAGGATTTCTTTGTAGTTTTAGAAGCTGTTCTGGAACTCACTCTGTAGACCAAGCTGAACTCAAACTCACAGAGATCCCCGTCTCTCCCTCCCAAGTGCTGGGATTAAAGGCAGGTGCCACCACCACCACCCAAAGATTTTTTCTAGAAAAGATTTTTTGTTCTCACCTTGAGAGAAGAAAACCCAACTAAATCAAACATTTCTTTCATACAGTAATAGAGGCATTTTCCCATTAGGCTTTTTAGAACAATCCCCCTAAGCTAATTCAACCATGGGGGACTTGGTGTCTGGGGAGGAACAAGGGCCCAGCCCTGGCTCATGTTTGCTCAAGGCTGGGTTTCTGCCTTGGCAGCGTTTGCTCACCCACAAGCAGTAGAAAGGTTACTATTTAACCCCAAGAGGGCTGAAGCTCAGAGCCCAGCCCTGTTGGAGAGAGCAGCACTGCAGGCTCAGAGAACAGACGAAGATAGACCTCCCACCCTGGAAGCGGGGTGCTGGCAGGGAGGAGGGCTTAGGAGGGGGTACAGAGTGGGAGGTGACAGGACAGCTTCAAAGGGGCTATGTTAGTAGAGACAAGACCTATTGGATCCAGTAGGAGCCTCTCTTTGGGCCAGTTAAGGGTTTTCTTGACCACTTGCTAAGAAAAAGCAGGTAGATTGGGGGCTGGCCCCACTCTTCTGAGTTGAGGAAGGAACTGAAACTCTAGTTGCTCTGCTCACTATGGATGATGCTGAATTCTGTAGCTGTCTGGTCCAAAACCTCCTGAGCCTCATTGTCTCCAACTGCAAAATGGGTAGATCATTAAACCCAAAGCCTGAAAAGAATCATCAGGCACTATATATGTCAAGACCTTAGGAGGTCATAATAAGAACTGGGGCTCTATTGGTGAGAATACTTGTTGCTTATGCAGAGGGCCTGTGTTCAGGTCCCAGCACCCACATGGTAGATCACAACCATCCCTAACTCAAGTTCCAGGGAATCTGATGTCCCCACATTAAGGAGCACATGTGGGCAGAACGCTCATGCACATAAAACAAAATAAATCTAAACAAATTAATAATAAGAAGGATAAGAACATTTAAAGAAAGAATTTGGTAGGTGTCTTGGGCCAGCTTTCGGCTTCTAGTCGGACTCCTTTCCTTGGGGCAGCAGGTTTCTCCACGCAACCTTCTGGAAACTTCCACAACTATTTCCAACTCACAGAAAAGCCTTGAGGACAACAGGGTCTCAGCTGTCCTGTCACCTCCCACTCTGTACCCCCTCCTAAGCCCTCCTCCCTGCCAGCACCCCCCTTCCAGGGGAAAGCAGGCAGCATGGTGAGGGGCCCTTTTTACAGGGCCCATTAAATGGTTACCACTCATAAAAGAGTTTATGTGGCTTAACCCTTAGTGAGTCAGAGTTCACAGGAGCTCCCCCAGGCTTGCAAGTAGAGATGTTCTGGACCCTGACAGTAGCTGCAGAGAGCAGCAGGTGGTACCTTATGTGAACTAGGCTAGCCAAGGCCTTTGGACAAGCCTACTCTCTTCCAGGCCTAGCTTTTCAAATATAAAATGCAGACATTTGTCTTCCAATAGACTCTCAGGACGGTTGAGGAGATCAAATGAGATAATGGATAATAAATGTGCCTTGAGAACTATAAAAAGGCCCTGTTATGACCAAGGTACCCACACCCCCGTATACTAATGTAGACTTTCCATGCTGTATATTGATTGCTTTATGGGGTATAAAGAGCTACCCTTTTAATTAAAAGGAAGAGTGAGGGCTATTTAGGATTTGTTTTCAGCTCTCTACTTAGCCTTCAGCATAGTTTTCCTTAAAAAGCAAGTAGTAAGTTGAGTCTAGCTAGAGTCTGCAGGATCCCAGATAGGTTCCAGACTTCACTTCCTAGCTCTATGACTTTGAATCTACTCCTCATTCCCAGCCAGGAATGATGGGGGTGAGAGATGAGGTATTCTGATTCACTAAGCGTAAGGAAAAGCTGTTCTGGAGGATAAGAATGGTTTTAGAAGTGTGCAGTCTAGTACGTGACGTGCACACATCCCAATTTAAAAGTAGCCTTTTCTTTCTTTAAACAGCAGATGTCAAGGTGTTGCTTGGCCTTGGGTCTATACCTCCAAGGCTGAGAGAGATGTTCTATGTATGCTATGTGTATGAAGCAAGCCAAAGAAAGGGCTCATCTCTCTCCATCCTCAGCTTGAGGGATGCTGATGATGCTGTCAGGGGGCAGGGTAGAGGCACAAAGAACCAGATCTTCCTCATGCCAGACAATAGCTAATCCCAGTTTCTCCACAGCATCTCCACAACCAAAATCAGGGCTAAATAATTCTTTTTTGAAATTTCTAGTTAAGACCTAGTATTTGTGCATATTTTGGAGGCAATTTATACATGTATATAATATATATTCAGTATTTCCTCTTTTTCAACATGTTATTTGCTTATATTTACAGTATTTCTGTCCTGATTGTTTTGAAATACATATTTATTTTATGATTGCAGACTGTGATTACACTATTGTTCTGGAAAATACTAGAACTAATTCTTCCTCTAATTGCATTTTGGTACCTATTAACCTTTTTCCTCTGTGCTCCCTTTCTCTCTACCTTCCTAACCTCTAATGTCCACTATTCTCTCTTCTTCTATGAGATCATTATTTAACCTGCCACCAAGGAGTAGGAGTATTGCAGTGTTTGTCCTTCTCTGTCTGGCTTATCATTCAACATGATGCCCTCCAGTTCCATCCCCATTGCTACAAATAACAAGATTTCATTCATTTCATGGCTGAATATTAGCCTATTACATATATGTACCTCTTCTTCTTTACCCATTCATCTGTCAATGAACCATATCTTGGCCACTATCAATCCTGCTGTAACATGGGAATGCAGGTAGAGCTGGGGAATTCTTTGGTACAGAAGTTGTCACACACAGGTAGGGTACCCAGCAGCTGCCATGGATTCTACCCACTAGATCTCTCCTTATGTATTCCCTAGAGCAAAATCACCAACCCTGGTTGAGAATTGTGGTTCAAACTAAAGCCTGTGGAGGTGGCAGCTGAGGCTCTGATCCTGCTGGTATGGCAACCGTGGGCTGGACCTTGGCCTTTCTAAATTGTTCTCGCCTCTCCTGAGGAGCAGACAGTATCTG